CAGGCCGGGCTTCTGATATTTATGACCCAGTTCTTCATTCAGGCTTGTGACAATCAGTTATCTGATGCTGCCTGTGATTCTGATGTTTTGTTATTTGTGGACTCCAAGGCCATCGTTGGGGAAATCCCTGGACTAGATAAACAAATCACCATGATTTTGATAATTATAGGGTTAAGAAGGTCCACCTCCTCTGCAACTCCCTGGAATCAGTGAGTGACTCAATGGGCAGCTGCAGAGCCAGAGCAAAACATGTTTGTAAGAACTCAAATCTGGGACTCTCAATCTGGGCCCTGCTAAACCTGAGGAAACATTAACTATAGAAACTATAGAATATAAGAATATAAGAAACTATAGAATAGCTAGTGTTATGATTAGTTGGGTCCAGGATCTGGGTCACACTATTGATTCTGAAAGCTGGGAAAAACTGTGGACTAAATCAAATTTGCAGCATGTGTGTCACTCAAAGAAAATGTATTTAAGATGATGTACCGATGGTATATCACACCTGCCAAACTTGCTAAAATGTATAGAAATCAAGACAAAAAATGTTGGAAGTGTAAGGAGAAGAATTTCCTCCACATGTGGTGGACTTGCTCCAAAGTGGAAGCCTTCTGGGATATAATATATAATGAGTTAAAAAAGGTTTTGAAATATAAGTTCAATAAAAAAACAGAGGCATTTTTATTAGGTTTAATTGGTGAAGAAATACATAAAAGAGAGGTAAACATGTTTATTTATGCCACAACGGCTGCAAGAACACTTCTGGCTCAGAAATGGAAGCAGCAGGAACTCCCAACACTGGAAGATTGGCAGGTCAAGGTGGTGGAATATGTAGAGATGGCCACGTTGACGGGGAAGATTCGGAATCAGTGTGATGAACTGTTTCAAATGGACTGGAACAAATTTATATTTTATATGAAAGAAAATTGTAAACTTTTGAAAACATTTGTAGGCCTGAATTGAAATGTTTTGTAATGTAAATATAAGGGACTGATTTACCGACAAGAAGGTGAAATATTATAATTTGACAAAGGGTAAATGATTATAGAAATGTGAAAAATATGGAAAGATATGTGGAAGTCAGAAAGAGGGAGGGAAGGATGTTGATGCTCTTACAGAGTAATATATTAAGTTATAGAAGTATGTAAAAAATGTGAATATGATTTAAGTGGAAAATCTAATAAAAAATATTTAAAAGAAAGAAAGAAAGAAAGAAAGAAAGAAAGAAAGAAAGAAAGAAAGAAACTAGAGAATATCCAAAGCAAAACGTGTTTGTGAGAACTCAAAGATGTGACTCTCAATCTGGGCCCTGCTAAACTTGAGGAAACATTAGCTTCAGTAAAGTCCAGGAAACTATAGAATAGCTATGATGGACCAAGACCAGGAAGACAGGACATGATAAAGGTGTATAAAGTCCTGCATGGTGTGGATAATATGGATAGGAAAAGTTTTCCTCCTTCCCAGTAGTAATACTAGAAGTTTGGACTTTAAGTGGGAATATAAACCCTTGTTTCCTAGGCCCCAGTCCAAGTCCCTGATCACTACACCACACTGTCTCAGAACTATAGATTCATTGGCATCCAATGGAGGTCTCTAACACAGAGATAAGTCATGAGATACTCACATGAGGTAATAAAAGTTCGGATTCATGAGACAACTAAAAGCATATTTTTATAATCAAAACAGCAACAACTATTTTAATATTTATACCGAACCCACAACAAGAGCTGTTTGAAGAATTGCTGTGTCGTCTGATATGTTCACCCACAACTTAACACATATACCCAGAACAAATTTAGTTGGTCTGTAAGGTGCTACTGGACATTTTTTAAAAATTATTTTTATTTATTTCATCTGTTTCAGACCAACATGGCTACCTACCTGAATGCAGTAGTCCAAGTGGGAGATAACTAGAGCATGCACTACTCTGGCGAGATAGTCTGTGGGTATGTAGGGTCTCAGATGGCCTACCAGATGCAGCTCAATCCATTGGCCACCATACAGCCTTCAACCATCTCCAGATACTCACAGGACCTAGTTACTCACACAGGACCTGGTGACCTAGTTGCAGGAGTTTATTGGCCAGTGACGTTTATTGGCCAGAAACATATTTAGGTGACTTCCCGTGTCTGGACTTCTGGGTGCGATGATCTTAATTAGGGCTTTAAAGGTCAGCACCAACACTTTGAATTGTGCTTGGAAACATACTGGGAGCCAGTGAAGTTCCTTTAGAATCACTGTTATATGGACCTGGTGGAGATAACCAAAGTATGGACCACTCTGGTGAGACAGTTTGTGGGCAGGTAGGGTCACAGCTGGCATACCATATGGAGCTGGTAGACAGAGTTAACCTGTGCCTCCATGGACACCTGTGAGTCCAAAATGACTCACCTGTGCACCTGGTCCTTCAGGGGCACAGTTGCCCCATTCAATACCATTCAAGACCAGGGGGTCCCCCATGCCCGCCCCCATCTCCCCAAAACAGTACCTCTGTCTTGTCAGGATTCAACTCCAGCCCGTTAGCCACCATCCACCCTCCAGCCACCTCCAGATACTCACACATTAACCTTAACTGGTTCCTCAAACTGATGAACACTCAGCCCAAACCACCTGATGATCTCCATATTCTTCTTCATGCTCAGCTATACATTAAGCTTGCTGGAGAGCCAGGCTGCTGGTGACCTAGTTGCAGGAGTGACGTTGGCCAGTGATGTTACCATGGATGAATGCAGATGTATCATTGTGACACCAGTGTATGATGTCACAGACAGAATGAGCTTCAAACACCAGTAAAGTGAGAGACAGTTAACAGTCAGACCTAGGCTTAATGCTGTGGGTATTCGTGGCAGATGATGAGAAGGTAAAACATGGGGGCTATGGTATCTTTTACCAAAGTTTACAGCCGGATCAAGCACTTAAAAGATCTTGGTGCCCCCATGTGTATCTAATTCAGGAAATAAACACTAATAAACTGTAAAATAAAGATTGATTTTTCAAAATGAAGCAGAACCTACAGTAAGGTGGAAAATAACATTTATAGATCAGGGTAAATCCAGCAATGAAAAATTTCTGAGGTGCCCCCCTTCCATTGAGGCCCTGAGCACGTGCTTATTTTGCTTAATGCTTAATTCAGCCCTATTCTGGATTAGGGCTACTTGAGTTTGGGGCAGATTCTTGAAGAAGTGGAACCTTCTGAAGTGACTCTCATTAATTGCAAATGAGGTTTTCAGCTGTTGAGGTTCTATTGCTCTTTGAACCACAATTAAGCATTTAAAGACAATATGGATTTACACAAGTGCAGGTCAGTGAAATGGACATCTTCAGTAACAAGTCCATCAGATTATAAAACAGATAGGACTTTAGGGCTGCTCCATCCTTATTATACATTCACTTTCATCATTCATTACCACTTCCTTTCACAATTTTTGTTTTTATTCATGCTTCTTTGATTCCATGCATAACAAGGTCTGAACCCAGATTGAGATGGGTCCAGTTAAGTGTTTGACTTCAGGTGGTCCCATCCATGTGGTCTCCCAACCGCTGCCCTGCATGACTTATTAAAGCTTGCAATGGGGGCATGAATTGGTGGATTCAGGAGTTGTCAATGCATTCTCATGGAAGAGGGTAGTCCTAGCTGTCTTGAAAAATTGGTGGCTTGATCACTCCTGAATATTTCCAACATGAGCATATTGACTTATGACGACTACTGCGAACAGGTCGCTAATACTGGTTGTTTTGGAAGTGTAAATGGTAGAGAGGTTTCTGGGAAGACATTTCTGAACATTGATTTTATGAATTTAGAGCTTCTGCAATTTTCCTGCCATAAACCAGGTGTCAGGGACTGGGCAGAGGAGGAATGGTGTAGAATGCCTCGCCATCTTGACTCTTCCAGAGAAGAGGAAGACAGTATAGATTTATAACAGTGGTTTGTGGGAGGTCACAGCTCAGAGGCAAATGAGGGGATAGTTGGGAAATAATGCGAGAGGAGCAGAAGGAGACAAAAGTGGAGCCGCAGCTGGTTGATACGATGTCATTAGAAAGCAACTAAGACCCTCCATCTCCTAGAACCTGGCAAGCCTTAAAAGTAGGTGAGCAAAGAGCTCAAAGACAGAGGGCACATAGCAGCACCCATAGAAGTGACGAATGAGGATGTGGGAGAGACAAGGGTGGAAAGTCACTTGGGACAACGCCATTATCTAAGAGGCTGAGTTCTTTAGCCTCTCTCTGTAAAAATTGAAATAAAAAAGGACGGTAAGAAACCTTTCCTTTTCTTTTTGCTTTCCTGGGCAACCAGCCAGAAGCTGCTGACAGCATCCTGACAAATTGTCCCGAGTCAACTTTAATTGGCGGTTAGGTCATAAATCATGACAGATGGCGTAGCAGGAGCCACGGGGCAGGCAGCCAACACTGATAACCGAGAAGAACCATTTCAATGGTTTTACAACAAAATTTATTGTTAAGATCACACATAGAACAATTAAGCAGAACAATAAATCAACAAAAATGAGAATTCGCAAAGATTTCCTGGGGTATCACCTCACAAGTGAGGGGGTGCACATGGATCCAGCTAAGGTGCAGAGCGTAGTTTCGCGGCAGGAGCCCAAGACAAAGAGGTTTGTAGCATTGGCCAAATATTACCGCAAGTTCATGTCAGCCTATTCGAGATTCACTACACCCCTCACGGATTGCTTGTAGGGCAAGAAGCCATTCCAGTTGACAGCTGAGGCACAACAGGCATTTGAGCATCTCAAAACCTTGTTCTCCTCAGAGGTGTACCCATCTCATGCAGACCCCCACAGGGTGTTGGTCAAATAAAGAGACGTCTTTGACAGAGTGGTTGGTGCTGTGCTTTGAAAGGAAGACCAAGATGACCAAAGTCTTTATGCTTTCTTGGGCAACCAGCTGGAAGCTGCTGACAGCATCCTGACAGCAGTGTTTGGTCCACGTTAACAACATTGTATTATATATGTGAAGCCAAGAATCTTCAAAGAAGCTACGAATCAGACACTACCACCTTCACTTTTTGTAGTTAGATGTGCCTTTGTGTTCAGATCAGGCCTGAGTATGATAATGTAGCACTTGGGAAGGAAGATGCAGCACAGAAGCCCAGCACTGGAGGCCAACATAGAGAAGACCTGCACAGCTACCATGAACTTCCCTTTGGTGCTCAGGTAGGTGGGAACAAAAGACACCCAAACACTGCAGAAGACCAGCATGCTGAAGGTGATCAGCTTGGCTTCATTGAAGGACCCTGGAAGCTTTCTGGCTAGAAAAGCCACCGTGAAGCAGATGGCAGCCAGGAAGCCCATGTAGCCAAGGACAGTGTAGAACATGGCAACAGATCCCTCATTGCATAGAAGGATGATCTCTCTTGCTTGGGAGTGCATGTCGGAGTCTGGGAAGGGTGGGGAGATTCCCAGCCAGATGCTGCAGATGACAACCTGAATACTGGAACAGGAAAGGACAATGGAGTTGGCCAGACTCTTCCCCAGCCATCTCCTCACCTTGTTCCCTGGCTTTGTGGCCAGGAAGGCCAGCACCACAGTGATGGTTTTTGCCAAAACAGAAGAGACAGCAACTGAGAAGATGATGCTGAAGGCTGTTTGTCGGAGAAGGCAGGTCACTTTCCTTGGCCGGCCGATGAACAGGAAGGAGGAAAAAAAGGAAAGCAGGAGGGAGCTGAGGAGTATATAGGATAAATCCCGATTGTTAGCTTTGACTATGGGAGTTTCCATGTATTTAATGAAGATTCCTTTCACAATGCCAGTGGTCAAGGACAAGAAGAGGGCAAAGGAAACCAGGACAATCCCCAAGGGTTCTTCATAAGTGAGAAATGTTATAGTCTTGGGGACACATTTGTCTCGTGCTTGATTTGCATGCTGATCTTCTGGGCATCTGGTGCAACGCTTTGCATCTGAAGAGAAGAAGAATGACTTCAGAATGACTAACAAAACTCTTACATCCATACCTGTCTGTTTTCTGACAGAGGTTGCCATGGTGATGGGGTGTGCGTTTGAGGTGTCAGGAAAATACAGTCTTTAGCAAGATGTGCTGGGAAGAATAAGGCAGAGAATAAGAATAAGACAGAGGCACCCATTTTGACGCTCCTTCAGGTATACTGGGCCGAGGCCATTTAGGGCTTTAAAGGTCAACACCAGCACTTTGAATTGTGCTCGGAAACGTACTGGGAGCCAATGTAGGTCTTTCAAGACCGGTGTTATGTGGTCTCGGCGGCCGCCCCCGGTCACCAGTCTAGCTGCCGCATTCTGGATTAGTTGTAGTTTCCGAGTCACCTTCAAAGGTAGCCCCACGTAGAGCGCATTGCAGTAGTCCAAGCGGGAGATAACTAGAGCATGCACCACTCTGGCAAGACAGTCCGTGGGCAGGTAGGGTCTCAGCCTGCGTACCAGGTGGAGTTGGTAGACAGCTGCCCTGGATACAGAATTGACCTGCGCCTCCATGGACAGCTGTGAGTCCAAAATGACTCCCAGGCTGTGCACCTGGTCCTTCAGGGGCACAGTTACCCCATTCAGGACCAGGGAGTCCTCCACACCAGCCCGCCCCTGTACCCCAAAAACAGTATTCTGTCTTGTCAGGATTCAACTTCAATCCATTAGCTGCCATCCATCCCCCAACCGCATATTGATGGACACCCAGTCCAAACCCCCTGATGATCTCTTCCAGCGGCTTCATATAGATGTTAAAAAGCATGGGGGAGAGGACGGAACCCTGAGGCACCCCACAAGTGAGGGCCCAGGGGTCTGAACACTCATCCCCCCCACCACTTTCTGAACACGGCCCAGGAGGAAGGAGCGAAACCACTGTATAACAGTGCCCCCAGCTCCCAGCCCCTCTAGATGGTCCAGAAGGATGTTATGGTCGATTGTATCAAAGGCCACCGAGAGATCCAGCAGAACTAGGAAACAACTCTCACCTTTGTCCCTAGCTCGCCGGAGATCATCAACCAGCGCGACCAAGGCAGTTTCAGTCCCATGATGAGGCCTGAATCCCGATTGGAAGGGATCCAAATGGTCCGCATCCTCCAGGCGTGCCTGGAATTGTTCAGCAACCACGCGCTCAATCACCTTGCCCAAGAATGGAAGATTTGAGACTGGGCGATAGTTGGCCATACTGGCCGGGTCTAAAGATGTTTTTTTAAGAAGCGGTTTAATGACCGCCTCTTTCAGCGGATCTGGGAATGTTCCCTCACAGAGGGAAGCATTCACCACCCCGCAGAGCCCATCGCCCAGCCCTTCCCGGCTTGCTTTTATTAGCCAGGATGGGCAAGGATCAAGGAGACAGGTGGTTGGTTTCACACGTCCAAGCAGCCTGTCCACATCCTCGGGGGTAATGGATTGAAATTGATTCCATGCGACTTGACCAGACAGAGCTCTAGCACTCTCCCGCCCCAGCCCTGCTCCCACGGTGGTGTCTAGGTCCTTCCGAATATGAGTGATTTTATCTTCAAAAAACTTTGCAAAATCGTTGCAGGAGATCTTGGGGTCTTTACAAGGCCCCGGTGGTAAAGGTGGTTCCGTTAAATTGCGAACCACCTGAAAGAGTCTCCTGCTACTATTTTCTGCAGATGCAATAGAGACGGCAAAGAAGACTTTCTTCTACTTTTCTTTCTACCAAGTCGCTATCGCCACTTGGTAGGCTCGACGTTGAGCTCTAACCTGTGTCCGGTCAGATTTGGAGTGAGTTTTCTGCCACCGACGCTCTAGCTGTCTCAGCGATTGTTTCATCGCCCTCAGCTCCGAAGAAAACCACGGGGCTGTCCAGGCTCCATGCAATCGGAGAGGGCGCTTCGGAGCCAGACAGTTGATAGCCCTGGTTAACTCCGCATTCCAGCGGGCCACCAGGGAATCAGCTGAAAGGCCATCAACATGGGCTAAAGCATCCCCTACCACTCTCTGGAAACCATTTGGATCCATTAAGTGGCGGGGGCGGACCATCCGAATTGGTCCCACCTCCCTGCAGAGGGGAAGGGTCGCGGAGAAGTCCAGTTGCACCAGGAAGTGATCTGACCATGGCACTTCTTTGGTTTCGCTTTTACTTAGTGTCAGATCACCCACGTCACTAGAGGTGAACACCAGGTCTAAGGCATGTCTATGACTATGAGTTGGGCCAAACTTATTCAGGGACAGCCCCATGGAGGCCATGCTTTCCATGAAGTCCCGAGCAGCTCCTTGTAAGGTCGTGTCGGCATGGATGTTAAAATCCCCCAGGACAACCAAACTAGGTGTCTCCAGGAGAAAATCCGCCACGACCTGAAGCAGCTCGGACAGGGAATCCTTGGTGCAGCGGGGAGGTCGGTACACCAAAAGGAATCCTGTACTGTCCCTATTGCCCAACGTCCAGAACATGCACTCAGAAAACTGGATCTTCCCAGTAGGACGCCTGGTGCAAGCTAGTGACTTCCTAAAAATCACTGCAACCCCCCCTCCCTGCCCACATGACCTGGGTTGCTGTGCGTAAGAGAAACCTGGTGGGCAAGCAGCGGCAAGGACAGGCCCATCTGCTTCCTCCAACCAGGTCTCTGTCACACATGCCTGGTCAAATCCTCCATCCACAATCAGGTCGTGGATGGCAGTGGTTTTATTCATCATTGACCTGGCATTACACGGCAACACCTTCAGGTCATGTGGGTTTCCCCTGTTGATTCCAGTATCCATCTGGTCAAGGCCAGACCCGGAGGCAGGGATAGTCTTCAAACAACGAGTAAACCTGCCTCCTCGGTAATGACATGGTCTGGTCTTAGCGTAACTCCACCTCCTACCCATGATCACTGAGATCGGATGTCCCACTGGAACAGGGAAGCAATGGCAGAACACTTCCCACACTTCCTCAAAAGTTTGTTCCAAATAAGGGCCTGGGCCACGCCCCCTGGGCCAGTTGGAAAAAGCCTTGGAAGGGAGCAGGCCCTGCAGTCCTCACCCAGCCGATGTGCGGCACTGCTATAGTAAACAAGTCGCTCTTGATCATGTGCTAAGATCAGGACTTCCTCCATGCAGACTGAAGGTGTAAATATGTGAATAAATCATATTTCTCAAAGACACAGCAGTCTCCCCTGAGTCTTCAGTTCTCCAAAGGAGCACGAACCCTGTGTGACCCCTAGAATACCAAGAAATCTTGCCTCTCCCTTTCTTCTGGAGTCACCCACCTTCCTGAACGGAGATGGTCCCTTCCGCACAAGGAGCACAATCGTAGCAGCAAACGGCCTCCCCTTCTTTAGCCACTCTGGCATATCCAGGGCGACAGCTTTCGGTGCATTTTGAACGAGGCACAACCTAAAAAGAAGGAGAAAGAGCACCCAAGGATATCAGCATAAATTACAGACATCATCTGAAGGCTCTGACTAAAAAAATACTCAAATAAAAATCATTTTTAGAATACGGAGACCAGGTTAGAAAGCTTTAAAATGGGAGTGAGACTCTTCCAAATTTGGTAGAACTGTGGAGAACTCATTTTCTTTCTGACATAAAGTTTCATTTTTAATTGTTGAACGCAAATATTGTTGAACACAAAGGATTAAAGAAACTATGGCCTTTTAAACTGCATTTGAGATTTATTGAAGCTCCATAGAGAAAAGGTGGGATATAAGTGCAACAAATAAACACATAAATGAATGAATTCAATGACCTTGCTGAATTTCCCAGGCCACATAATGGCTTCTGGTTTAATGGAGAATTTTATGCCGGAGGATGCCTGTCCCTCGATGTTCCCAACTTTCTTTCTGCTCTGAGATCTATTGGGAAATACAACCCAGTTCACGATATCAAAGTTGGCAGTCAGCTCCCCATTCTGATCAGAATACATCCCTCCTATGGATGAATTGGAAAGCCAAATTTCTTTCAAGAAAGTGTGAAGCTAGAATGGCAGAGAAAACACCAGCTTTAGAAAACATGATATCCGGATTTTGTGAGAAAACAGAAGGCTTGTGTGCAAACTCCATAAGAGATGAGAGTAAATTATGTTTAAACAAAATAATTGCAGGATATTTCTGGGTATATGATTGAGCAAAGCTTTTCATGACTTTGGATATTTTGTGGGGCGTAGTCTTGTTTTTCTTAGATAATTGAGTAAGGTTCCAGACATCTTACCAGTTTTGAGAGAATGGTCCTAAATCAAGGACACTGAGGCCTTGTGTCAGCTAAAGATAACAACTTTTGTTCATTACAACTGGTCCTTTATCAGATTATAAATTCACAGGACATATGACTCAAATAAACACATATAGAGGACACATCCTAGCAAGCACTTGGCAACTAACAAGGCTTTTAATTGGCTTTAACCGATCCTATTGCGATTTCAACTTTCTGTGTTTTAAATAAGGGTTTTCTTTAGTGAAATTTTTTTCATTTTAACTTTTTTGTAAAGTGCTTTGAGGTTTTTTCCAGGAGTCGAGCAATACTGTATATAAATGTTATGAACTAAATATAGTAATTAATCAACTAATTAATTAATTAATTAAACTCTATGTAAGAGAATGCTCCTTAACAATTTTTCATAGCTTATTTTGTGCTTTGAAAGATTCCCCCTACCTTTTCAAAGTATATTAGAACCACAAAAATAGATGAACAATTAAAAAAAACTTATTAACATGTCCTGCTAAAGACAGGGCATAGGAAACCTAAACATATTTAACAATAACAATGAGGTAAACTACAAAGAATATAAAATCTGAAACGGATTCCAGAAGGTATTTACAAAAAAGGGGAGAGGACAGACCTGCCATGGCTGCAGTCTTTGAAGTTCCAATCTGTCTCCTCCACTCGCCATTAACATCCATTTGGATCTGGATGAATATGCGACATTTAAGGCCTGGGTCACAAACTGGACGCCGTAGTAAGTGCTGTAGCGGTCTTGAGACCAGATTGCCCGCATCTCCTTCTGGGACAAAGTTTCCAGTGGTTCCTTTTCTGTGCATTTTGTCCAACCCTCCACGGATAGCACATTGTTTGAACATGTACAACTGAATGCTCTTGACCAAAACTCTGCAGCTGCAGCTGTAGCTTCAAATGAAAGTCGAGTATAGTAGCCATGTTCTGTCCGTTTTTTGGTATTCATTACAAAGGACAAAGAACCTTGGGCAGGCTCGAAGTAATCTGTGCCACCAAACAACATCTCATCAATGTCCAGAAGATCTGTTGTGATCCAGACTATCCCCTGAGATTTCCTCACTTCCTGAATTCTTTGTAACATCACAATTGGATAAATTCTGTGCTCAGAGTCCCCATAATAAACAAACACCTTGACTTGTCTCAAATCAGATGGTTTACAATGTAAGGATGACATTTGTCCCAGGGTCGAAATATGAAATTTTTCCAAGAAAGCAACACAAATCCCACTGCGGATCATCAGAAGGGTGAAGACACTCAGGAACCTTTCTCCATTGTCATTGTCTGGAACAAAGAGACCGATCCACGTCCACCCGAAATGTAGCAACAACTTGATAATCCCCAAGTGCTGGGTTTCTTCTTTGGGGACCATCCGGTAGACAAAAGGGAACTGGGTTTTGTCATCCAGATCCTGAGCAGCAGAGCCAAAACTGATCTAGTAAGAAAAGGATTGGTGTCAGGGTTTCAGGAATACACAAGAAAGGCCTCATTGCATGATCAGGCCAAAGGCCCATCTTCTCACAGTAGCTAACCAGAGGCTTATGGGATACATGCCATGTCTCTGATGGTGGAATCGTGTTCAGAAGAGGACCAGGAGTTTACAGAGAAGGAAGTGGCTCCAATGGACACTGGGGCAGAACAGGGCATCTGGGTCTTGTGGGGTCATGACACCCCAAAGTCTTCCTAGAGTCACAATGGGGCACTACACAGAATGAGAGGCAGAAGCTAAGCAGCTTCACAGTCTTTAGGCGTGCAAGTACTTAAACTTCTGTGTTCAGTTAGCTGTCAGACATCCACTGGTCTTCCTGAGAAACAAGAACCCTTTAGGGGCCAGGGGTACTTTCAACCACATCTTCCTATTGACAAACCGGGGAAGAAGAAGAAGAAGAAGAAGAGTTTGGATTTGATATCCCGCCTTTCACACCCTTTAAGGAGTCTCAAAGCGGCTAACATTCTCCTTTCCCTTCCTCCCCCACAACAAACACTCTGTGAGGTGAGTGGGGCTGAGAGACTTCAAAGAAGTGTGACTAGCCCAAGGTCACCCAGCAGCTGCATGTGGAGGAGCGGAGACGCGAACCCGGTTCCCCAGATTAGGAGACTACCACTCTTAACCACACTGGTTCTCTGGGAGGGAGATAGGAAGTGGCTGAGGGTTTTCTAACTCACTTTCCACTTTATTGCAATGTGATTTCCACCCCCCTTTGGTCTCTCTTTTTGCGTGCTACTCTTTTGTGTTGCCTGGAAAATTTGGCCCTTAGGACATTGCTGAAGTACAACTTCCATCAGTCTGTACAAGCATGGCTAATGGCTTGGCTTTGCAGTTTAGAAACTTCTTGGGGCATGAAGGGGTTCCTCACCACAGCTAGAGAGACAGCAGAGAGGAAATAAACACAACAGATCTCTTCCCTTCCAATTCCTACCTGGGGCATTTTGTAGATGCCTAACATGCTTGAAATCTGGCTGGGGATTTCAGAAGAAGTTGCTTCAAAAACAGCCAACACGTTATTCTGTCTTCCACAGCTGTAGTTTGGAATACTGTCTAGCATGGCATCGGCAGTTGTCCTGACATCAAAAGCGGCCTCATAGATGCTATAGCCCAGGGTGACATTGGCTAAATGCTTAAGATGCCGGGTGATCTCCTGGGTTGCAAACAAGATGGAGAGGACTGGTGAGATATCCTCTGCTGACCAACTGCAAATAAATGAATACACGAAAAATCATTTTAGCCTTCCATTCTCCATTAAATGAAAACAACTCCTTGCTCTATACAAGTTATATCTAACGGGAAACTCTGCAGCTAGGAAGGAGCAGAATCTTGCCCAGATCCACCAACAAAGAAAGGAGTAGCATTTAGGAGAGCTTGAGCTGGGGTGAATTAGATTGCAATTTAGAGTTCCTTAAGTTGGCAAGAACTATTTACAGGATAAGAAGATATGAAAGAGAAATGCCCTATCTTGGGTTACTCACCTTAACTTCTGAGTCTTGTGGAACACCTAGTAAGGTTCCTATACTGATTTGAGCGTTCCCGCGAGTCTGAAGGGAAGGTGGTGGTATCCTTACATTCTGATTTTTACACATTCTTTGATCCACAAATGCAAGATTGCACCGTGGATTTAGAACTTATTTAAGATACGTTGTAATCCACATACACCCAACACACCGGGGACATTTAATTTAGAGAGTTTGTTGGGAATAAAGGAATAGAGGAAGCTGTCAAAGCTGTTAATACTTGACTAGGAAGAAGCACCCTTTTCCATGAAACATGAGATGATCAACTATGCTTTAGCTGCATTAATGAAACTGAAGCCCAAAATAGGGAAAGGGTTCTGAAACAACCTTTTTGTTTGCAGGATACCAAGGGGCATGGCCAGAAACTAGATGCTGCCTCTGGAAAACAGCAAGAAATGTGAATGCAGACTGGGTAACATAAAGTCACTTACGTCATAACAGTGTTTTTGGGATGAAGTGAAAAGTTGATTGGGTAAGTTCTAAAAGCTTTTGGAAATATAACCTGACTAATGAGGTGGTCTCCTGGCCTGTAATAATTCAACGGATCAGTTCCTATATTTCGGTTCAATGGGCATTTAGCTTTCAGCATCCTACTGGCTCCATGGGGCATTAGCAGCAGAAACAGCAGTAGCAGAAATATCATCCTGGCTATGCCTGCAAGAGTCGTACACTCTTGTGACAGCAGTCACATTAGAAGCACAGCTGGACTCCTACAGTAGCTTCAGAAGCAAAGGTAGAAAAAAGAAACCTCCCATAGAAATAAGCCCTGCCAGCCCCAAATCTGCCAGGTCCGGCTTCTGATATTTATGACCCTGTTCTTCTTTCAGGCTTGTGACAATCAGTTATCTGATGCTGCCTGTGATTCTGATGTTTTGTTATTTGTGGACTCCAAGGCCATCGTTGGGGAAATACCTGGACTAGATAAGCAAATCACCATGATTTTGATAATTATATGGTTAAGAAGGTCCACCTCCTCTGCAACTCCCTGGAATCGGTGTGTGACTCAATGGGCAGCTGCAGAGCCAGAGCAAAACATGTTTGTGAGAACTCAAAGATGGGACTCTCAATCTGGGCCCTTCTAAACTTGAGCAAACATTAACTTCAGTAAAGTCCAGGAAACTATAGAATAGCTAGTGTTATGATTAGTTGGGTCCAGGATCTGGGTCACACTATTGATTTTGAAAGCTGGGAAAAACTGTGGACTAAATCAAATTTACAGCATACGTGTCACTCAAAGAAAATGTATTTAAGATGATGTACCGATGGTATATCACACCTGCCAAACTTGCTAAAATGTATAGAAATCAAGACAAAAAATGTTGGAAGTGTAAGGAGAAGAATTTCCTCCACATGTGGTGGACTTGCTCCAAGTGAAAGCCTTCTGGGATATAATATATAATGAGTTAAAAAAGGTTTTGAAATATAAGTTCAATAAAAAGAGGCATTTTTATTAGGTTTAATTGGTGAAGAAATACATAAAAGAGAGGTAAACATGTATATGTATGCCACAAGGGCTGCAAGAACACTTCTGGCTCAGAAACGGAAGCAGCAGGAACTCCCAACACTGGAATATTGGCAGGTCAAGATGGTGGAGTATGTAGAGATGGCCAAGTTGACGGGGAAGATCCGGAATCAGTGTGACGCACTGTTTCAAAAGGACTGGAACAAATTTATATTTTATATGAAAGAAAATTATAAACATTTGAAAACCTTTGTAGACCTGAATTGAAATGCTTTGTAATGTAAATATAAGGGACTGATTTACTGACAAGAAGGTGAAATATTATAATTTGACAAAGGGTAAATAAGTGATTATAGAAATGTGAAAAATATGGAAAGATATGTGGAAGTCAGAAAGAAGGAGGGAATGATGTTGATGCTCTTACAGAGTAATATATTAAGTTATAGAAGTATTTAAAAATGTGAATATGATTTAAGTGGAAAATCTAATAAAAATTATTTAAAAGAAAGAAAGAAAGAAACCATAGAATAGCCAAAGCAAAACGTGTTTGTGAGAACTCAAAGATGTGACTCTCAAGTCCAGGGAACTATAGAATAGCTATGATGGACCAAGACCAGCAAGACAGGACATGATAGAGGTGTATAAAGTCCTGTATGGTGTGGATAATATGGATAGGAAAAGTTTTCCTCCTTCCCAGTAATAGTACTAGAAGTTTGGCCTTTAAGCTGGAATTTAAACCCTTGTGTCCTAGGCCCCAGTCCAACTCCCTGATCACTACACCACACTGCCTCAGAACTATAGATTCATTGGCCTCCAGTGGAGGTCTCCAACACCGAGGTAAGCCATGAGATACTCACATGAGCTAATAGAAGTTCGGGTTCATGAGACAACCCAACCAGCTGACTGGTCCATTGGATTTAGACAGTAGCAATAATATCTGGCTTTAGCTTAGTAATATACCAGCAGCCAACTAGAGATTCAATTCAACTCAGCTTCTAATGAAGCTGAGTGTTGGAAGAGTCAGGACAGAGAAGTCTGTTATAGACTTTGAAGATTGCTCCTTCCCTTGAAGAATTTCAATCATACATAGTTGGGCTGAGGAAGGCTATTAACATCAGTGTTAAATTCAGTAAGTGGCTATTCGTTTGCAAGCGAAAAAGGGTTGGGAGGAGGTTCTTCGCCACTTACAGTACAAAGCTACTCACTGCAACTATCAAGCGTGAAACTGAAAAGAGACTGAAGGATCATCAGATGTTCCGGTGTCTGGTCCAGTTGGTCTCTGGATAGTTAAACAGTGTCTCCACACAAAACACACATTCTGCTCCTTCAGGTATAGTGGGCTGAGGCTGTTGAGGGCTTTAAAATTCAGCACGAACACTTTGAATTGTGCTCGGAAATGTACTGCGAGCCAGTGAAGATCCTTTATGTTATATGGTCCCAGCGGCCACTCTCAGTCACCAGTCTAGCTCCCACATTCTGGATTAGTTGTAGCTTCTGGGTCCCCTTCAAAGGTAGCCCCCACATAGAGTGCATTGCAGTAGTCCACTTCAGTAGGTATCTGAAGAAGTGTGTATGCACATGAAAGCTTATACCCAGAACAAACCTAGTTGGTTTCTAAAGTGCTACTGGACAAGTTTTTAATGTGTGATATTTTAGTGTATTTTTGGTTTCTATGGAAGCCGCCCAGAGTGGCTGGGGAAACCCAGGCAGATGGGCGGGGTACAAATAATAATAATAATAATAATAATAATAATAATAATAATAATAATTTATTTTGACTGTGTTATACCAACACTGCTACCTACCTGAATGCAGTAGTCCATGTTTGAGATAGCTAGGGCATGCACTACTCTGGCGAGACAGTCTGTGGATAGGTAGGGTCTCAGATGGGCTACCAGATGCAGCTGGAAGACAGAATTGACCTGTGCCTCCATGGACAGCTATGAGTCCAAAATGACTCCCAGGCTTCTCACCTGGTCATTCAGGGGCACAGTTGCCCCATTCAAGACCAGGGGGTCCCCCACACCTGCCCCCGTCTCCCCAAAACAGTACTTTGGTCTTGTCAGGATTCTGCCGGAATCCGCTGGCCACCGTACATCCTCCAACCATCTCCAGATACTCACACAGGACCTTCACCCCCTTCACTGGTTCCGATTTAAAAGAGAGGTAGACCTCTGTATCATCCGCATATTGGTCAACACACAACCCAACCCTCCTGATGATCTCTATGGTCTTCTTCATGCTCAGGCTATGAACTAAAACATTAAGTTTGCTGGAGAGCCAGGCTGCTGGTGACCTAGTTGCAGGAGTTTATTGGCCAGTGACGTTACCATGGATGAATGCAGATGCATCATTTGTGACATCAGTGTATGATGTCACAGACAGAATGAGCTTCAAACCCCAGCAAAGTGAGAGACAGTTAACAGTCAGACCCAGGCTTAATGCTGTGGGTGTTCATGACAGATGATGAAAAGGTAAAACATGGGGGCTATGGTATCTTTTACCAAAGGTTACAGCCAGATCAAGCTCTTAAAAGATCTTGGTGCCCCCATGTGTATCTAATTCAGGAAATAAGCACTAATAAACTGTAAAATAAAGATTGATTTTTCAAAATGAAGCAGAACCTACAGTAAGGTGGAAAATAACATTTATTTTTGAATATTACCACCTATTTTTTTCTAATTGCAAAGATCTGGGTAAATCCAGCAATGGAAAATTTCTGAGGTGCCCCCCTTCCCTGGAGGCCCTGAGCACATGCTTATTTTGCTTAATGCTTAATTCAGCCCTATTCTGGATTAGGGCTACTTGAGTTTGGGGCAGATTCTTGAAGAAGTGAAACCTTCTGAAGTGACTCTCACTGCTTGCAAATGAGGTTTTCAGCTGTTGAGGTTCTATTGCTCTTTGAACCACAATTCAACATTTAAAGACAATATGGATTTACACCAGTGCAGGTCAGTGAAATGGACATCTTCCGTAACAAGTCCATCAGATTATAAAACAGATAGGACTTTAGGGCCGCTCCATCCTTATTATACATTCACTTTCATCATTCATTACTACTTCCTTTCACAATTTTTGTTTTTATTCATGCTTCTTTGATTCCATGCATAACAAGGTCTGAACCCAGATTGAAATGGGTCCAGTTAAGTGTTTGACTTCAGGTGGTCCCATCTATGTGGTCTCCCAACCGCTGCCCTGCATGACTTATTAAAGCTTGCAATGGGGGCATGAATTGGTGGATTCAGGAGTTGTCAATGCATTCTCATGGAAGAGGGTAGTCCTAGTTGTCTTGAAAATTGGTGGCTTGATCACTCCTTAATATTTCCAACATGAGCCTATTGGCTTATGACGACTACTACGAACAGGTCGCTAATACTGGTTGTTTTGAAATTGAGTGGTGGAATGGTGGAGACCGCCTCCCCATCTTGACTCTTCCAGAGAAGAGGAAGACAGTATAGTTTTATAACAGTGGTTTGTGGGAGGTCACAGCTCAGAGGCAAGTGAGGGGAATAGTTGGGAAATAATGGGAGAGGAGAAGGAGGCAGCAGAAGTGGAGCGGCACCTAGTTGATACAATGTCATTAGAAAGCATCCAGGACCCTCCATCTCCTAGAACCCGGCAAGCCTTGAAAGTAGGAGAGCAAAGAGCTCAAAGACAGCGGGCACGTAGCAACACCCGTAGAAGTGACGAATGAGGATGTGGGAGAGACAAGGGTGGAAAGTCACTTGGGACAACGCCATTATCTAAGAGGCTGAGTTCTCTCTCTGTAAAAATTGAAATAAAAAAGGAGGGTAAGAAACCTTTCCTTTTCTTTTTGCTTTCCTGGGCAACCAGCCAGAAGCTGCTGACAGCATCCTGACAAATTGTCCCGAGTCAACTTTAATTGGCGGTTAGGTCATAAATCATGACAGATGGCGTAGCAGGAGCCACGGGGCAGGCAGCCAACACTGATAACCGAGAAGAACCATTTCAAT